GGCTAGGTTAGTTATACCTTTACCTTTGATATACCTGTGAAGAGTTTCGAGAGTTTATCTACTCTCTGAGCTCAGCCAGTCTGCTGGTTGCCTGGTCAACCAGGCTGTTGCTGCTGGTGCTCTCCTGCCCTCTCCTGGCCCGGTGGCCTGGTGGCTAAAGCTACCGCTTCACACACGGAGGACCCGGGTTCGATTCCCGGCGGGTGGAAACATTTCGACGTGTTTCCTTACACCTGTTGTCCTGTTCACCTAGCAGCAAATAGGTACCTGGGTGTTAGTGGACTGGTGTGGGTCGCATCCTGGGGGACAAGATTAAGGACCACAATGGAAATAAGTTAGACAGTCCTGGATGGCGCACTGACTTTCTTGGGTTATCCTGGGTGGCTAACCCCCCGGGGTTAAAAATCCGAATGAAATCTTATCTTATCTTATCTTATCTTACATATCCCTCACAGCCTGATTGATCTGGAACATGGTGAAGATACTTGTCCAGATCAACCAGGCTGTGATGGATATGGTTAGGGTAAGTTAGGTTAGGTAAAGTTAGGCTAGGTTAGGTAAAGTTAGGCTAGGTTAGGGTAAGTTAGGTTAGGTAAGGTAAAGTTAGGTTACGTTAGGGTAAGTTAGGATAGGTAAGGTTAGGTTATGGTAAGTTAGGTTGGGTTAGAGTAAGGTAGGTTAGGTTAGGGTAAGTTAGACTAGGTAAAGTTAGGTTATTTTACATCAGGCTAGGTTAGGTTACATTACTAGTACTGTAAGATACTGACCAGAAGATAGATACGATAAAGATACTGACCTGAAGATAGGTGCAGTAAAGATAGTGACCTGAAGATAGGTACAGTAAAGATACTGACATGAAGATAGATACAATAAAGATACTGACCTGAAGATAGGTACAATAAAGATACTGACCTGAAGATAGGTACAGTAAAGATACTGACCAGAAGATAGATACGATAAAGATAATGACCTGAAGATAGGTACAGTAAAGATAATGACCTGAAGATAGGTACAGTAAAGATACTGACCTGAAGATAGGTACAGTAAAGATACTGAACTGAAGATAGGTACAGTAAAGATACTGACCTGAAGATAGGTACAGTAAAGATACTAACCTGAAGATAGGTACAATAAAGATACTGACCTGAAGATAGGTACAATAAAGATACTGACCTGAACATAGGTACAATAAAGATACTGACCTGAAGACAGCTACAGTAAAGATACTGGCCTAAAAATAGGTACAATAAAGATACTGACCTGAAGATAGGTACAGCTGCAGTACTATCTTTGTACCAGAGAATAAGTAGAACTTTGTCCCTGGACGACACAGCACAAGGCAGAGCTACTGTCTCTCCCACCACCACCACCACTCTCTCTGTGGGAACATCAATGTGTCATCAATGTTAGTGTCTCTCCCACCACCACCACCACTCTCTCTGTGGGAACATCAATGTGTCATCAATGTTAGTGTCTCTCCCTCCACCACCACCACTCTCTCTGTGGGAACATCAATGTGTCATCAATGTTAGTGTCTCTCCCACCACCACCACCACTCTCTCTGTGGGAACATCAATGTGTCATCAATGTTAGTGTCTCTCCCTCCACCACCACCACTCTCTCTGTGGGAACATCAATGTGTCATCAATGTTAGTGTCTCTCCCTCCACCATCACCACTCTCTCTGTGGGAACATCAATGTGTCATCAATGTTAGTGTCTCTCCCTCCACCACCACCACTCTCTGTGGGAACATCAATGTGTCATCAATGTTAGTGTCTCTCCCTCCACCACCACCACTCTCTCTGTGGGAACATCAATGTGTCATCAATGTTAGTGTCTCTCCCTCCACCACCACCACTCTCTCTGTGGGAACATCAATGTGTCATCAATGTTAGTGTCTCTCCCTCCACCACCACCACTCTCTCTGTGGGAACATCAATGTGTCATCAATGTTAGTGTCTCTCCCTCCACCACCACCACTCTCTCTGTGGGAACATCAATGTGTCATCAATGTTAGTGTCTCTCCCTCCACCACCACCACTCTCTCTGTGGGAACATCAATGTGTCATCAATGTTAGTGTCTCTCCCTCCACCACCACCACTCTCTCTGTGGGAACATCAATGTGTCATCAATGTTAGTGTCTCTCCCTCCACCACCACCACTCTCTCTGTGGGAACATCAATGTGTCATCAATGTTAGTGTCTCTCCCTCCACCACCACAACTCTCTCTGTGGGAACATCAATGTGTCATCAATGTTAGTGTCTCTCCCTCCACCACCACCACTCTCTCTGTGGGAACATCAATGTGTCATCAATGTGTCATCATTGTGTTATCAATGTGTCATTGACGTGTCATCATTGTGTTATCAATGTGGCATCAGTGCACCATTAATGTCATCAATGTGGCATCAGTGCACCATTAATGTCATCAATGTGGCATCAGTGCACCATTAATGTCATCAATGTGTCAATAATGAGTCATTAATAATGTATCACTAATAATAATAACAGGGCCAGGAGCTGTGACTCGACAGTAAGAGCTGACACTATCTTACTGTGGTTTATAATGGTACTGACAGCTAACACTGTATCTTACTATGGTTTATAATGGTACTTACAGCTGACACTGTATCTTACTGTGGTTTATAATGGTACTGACAGCTGACACTATCTTACTGTGGTTTATAATGGTACTGACAGCTGACACTGTATCTTACTGTGGTTTATAATGGTACTGACAGCTGACACTATCTTACTGTGGTTTATAATAGTACTGACAGCTGACACTGTATCTTACTGTGGTTTATAATAGTAATGACAGCTGACACTATCTTACTGTGGTTTATAATAGTACTGACAGCTGACACTGTATCTTGCTGTGGTTTATAATGGTACTGACAGCTGACACTGTATCTTACTGTGGTTTATAATAGTAATGACAGCTGACACTATCTTACTGTGGTTTATAATAGTACTGACAGCTGACACTGTATCTTACTGTGGTTTATAATGGTACTGACAGCTGACACTGTATCTTACTATGGTTTATAATGGTACTGACAGCTGACACTGTATCTTACTGTGGTTTATAATGGTACTGACAGCTGACACTATCTTACTGTGGTTTATAATAGTACTGACAGCTGACACTGTATCTTACTGTGGTTTATAATAGTAATGACAGCTGACACTATCTTACTGTGGTTTATAATAGTACTGACAGCTGACACTGTATCTTGCTGTGGTTTATAATGGTACTGACAGCTGACACTGTATCTTACTGTGGTTTATAATAGTAATGACAGCTGACACTATCTTACTGTGGTTTATAATAGTACTGACAGCTGACACTGTATCTTACTGTGGTTTATAATGGTACTGACAGCTGACAATGTATCTTACTGTGGTTTATAATAGTACTGACAGCTGACACTGTATCTTACTATGGTTTATAATGGTACTGACAGCTGACACTATCTTACTGTGGTTTATAATAGTACTGACAGCTGACACTGTATCTTACTGTGGTTTATAATAGTACTGACAGCTGACACTGTATCTTACTGTGGTTTATAATGGTACTGACAGCTGACACTGTATCTTACTGTGGTTTATAATGGTGCTGACAGCTGACACTATATTACTGTGGTTTATAATGGTGCCGACAGCTGACACTCTATCTTACTGTGGTTTATAATGGTACAGACAGCTGACACTGTATCTTACTGTGGTTTATAATGGTACTGACAGCTGAGATTGTATCTTACTGTGGTTTATACTAGTACTGACAGCTGACACTGTATCTTACTGTGGTTTATAATGGCACTGGCAGCTGACACTATCTTACTGTGGTTTATAATAGTACTGACAGCTGACACTATCTTACTGTGGTTTATAATGGTACTGACAGCTGACACTGTATCTTACTGTGGTTTATAATGGTGCTGACAGCTGACACTGTATATTACTGTGGTTTATAATGGTACAGACAGCTGACACTGTATCTTACTGTGGTTTATAATGGTACTGACAGCTGAGATTGTATCTTACTGTGGTTTATACTAGTACTGACAGCTGACACTGTATCTTACTGTGGTTTATAATGGTACTGACAGCTGACACTGTATCTTACTGTGGTTTATAATGGTACTGACAGCTGACAGTGCCTAGCCCTGCCGTCCACTGTCAGGAAGCCTCGCCCAGAGGGGAAGGAAGCTGACTAATTGGATAAATGGACTGAACAAGCTGACCCCAGACTGAGGGATTGATTCCCCCAAACTCCTCATCTTCCTCTACATTGGACTGAAGAATCCACTGACTGTATAGACACTTGTGTTGCACAAGTGTCTTGTTTAAGAGATGGTCAGCAAGGTCCAGGTAAGGACCAGTGAGTCAGCAGGAGCAGGTCAGGGAGTCAGCAGGTCAGGGAGTCAGCATCAGATCACATTGTTGTTGTTGTTGTTGTGGTTGTCAAGGGTCACTAAACTCACGCTTTATTTAACCTTCATCCGCTGTAAATTTGTTTTTTGGCCCAAAATGGAGTAAAAATTATAAATAAAATTGTTTTCTAGAAAGAATAACTAGAACAATTAATTCTAAGCTATGAAACGACACAAAAAAGAGCTAGAAATTCTTCAGTGAGGAACAAAATGCCTGAATGTGATGAGCACTGTTAGCTGGGAAGAAAAGTTGACAACAGGCTGGTAGGTGGACACTTGTGTGCTGTTGGCTTGGGTAGTGCCTGGGTTCACACACGGAGGGTCAGGGTTCATTACCCGGCGTGAGTGAAACTTATTATTATTATAATCAAAAAGAAGCGCTAAGCCACAAGGGCTATACAGCAACATGAGTGAAACATTAGCCGTGTTTCGTTACACCAGTTGTCCCTGATCACCTAGCAGTAAGTTGGTATCTAGACGTTAGTCACCTTATACTCGTTGTCACGTTCATCTAGCAGTAGGTACATGGATATTAGTCACCTTACACCTGCTATCATTGTTCAACTAACAGTAAGTAGGTACCTAGGTGTTTGTGGACTGGTGTGAGTGAGTGTACAGTGTCAGGTTTGCCAGGTACCCATATACTTCAGCAGTTATTTGCTTGATGTGCACCTCAGGAGATGTTCTTGGTGTGATGCTCACCCCAAGATCCTTTTCCTTGAGTGAGGTTGCAGCCTTTTACCTCCTAGGTTGTACTCCGTCTGTGGTCTTCTTTGACCTTCCCAAGTCTTCATGACTTTGCCCTTGGTGGGGCTAAACTACAGGAGACAGTTGCTGGACCAGACTTGCAGCCTCTCCAGATCCTCTTGCAGGCTTACCTGATCCTCATACATTTGTATTCTCCTCATTATCTTCACATCATCCACAAACAGAGACACTTCTGAGTTTATCCTTTTTGTCATGTCATTCACATATACTAGAAACAGAACTGGACCTAGGACTGACACCTGTGGAACCCCACTCGACACAAGCGCCCACTCTGACACCTCGTCTCATGCCAACACTCGTTGTTGCCTCAGTGACAGGTATTCTCTGATCCATTGCAGTACTTTCCCTGCTATTACCGTCTGCTCCTCCTCTAGCTGTTTCAACCAGTCTCTTGTGTGGTACTGTGTTGAAAGCCTTCTTACAGTCCAAGAAGATGCAGTCTATACATCCCTATCTCTCTCTCTTGTCTTACTGCTGTCACCTTGTCATAGAACTCCAGTAGGTTTGTGATGCAGGATTTCCCGTCCCTGAAACCGTGCTGGTTGTTGTTTATAATCTTGTCCTTTTCTAGGTGCTCCACTACTCTTCTAGGTGCTCCACCAGTCTTCTAGGTGCTCCACCAGTCTTCTAGGTGCTCCACCAGTCTTCTAGGTGCTCCACCAGTCTTCTAGGTGCTCCACCAGTCTTCTAGGTGCTCCACCAGTCTTCTAGGTCCTCCACCAGTCTTCTAGATCCTCCACCACTCTTCTAGGTCCTCCACCACTCTTCTAGGTCCTCCAACACTCTTCTAGGTCCTCCACCACTCTTCTAGGTTCTCCAACACTCTTCTAGGTTCCCCACCGCTCTTCTAGGTCCTCCACCACTCTTCTAGGTTCTCCACCACTCTTCTAGATCCTCCACCACTCTTCTAGGTCCTCCACCACTCTCCTAGGTTCTGCACCACTCTTCTAGGTCCTCCACCACTCTTCGAGTTTCTCCACCATTCTTCTAGGTCCTCCACCACTCTTCGAGTTTCTCCACCACTCTTCTAGGTCCTCCACCACTCTTCTAGGTCCTCCACCACTCTTCTAGGTTCTCCACCACTCTTCTAGGTTCTCCACCACTCTTCTAGCTTCTCCACTACTCTTCTAGGTTCTCCACCACTCTTCTAGGTTCTCCACCACTCTTCT